AAGAATTTAATTTATTTACAAAAATATTTAATAATACAACTATGTATAAAATAATATGTATTAAATTGTTACAATGAAAACTAACAAGTATAAAAATTGATAAAATTATTTATCGAATGAAATTCTTCTTTTCTTTGTCGGATTGTCTTTTGATTCATTTTCTTGTTCGTCTTCCATATTTTCGTGAAAAAGTATAATAAAAGTAAAAAAAATTTAAGTTAAATAAAAACTAAACATTTACGGGACTATTTTGCTTCTAATGCGAAAATGACTATAATATCCATGTTTAGCCACCGCAGATTAAGTACAAAAGAATTTTTGTACGTGGTCCAGAAGCCGAGATATCAAAGATTTTGCAAGCGCGAGCCATTTAGACTCCACTTCATCATTTTTCAGAGCGAGCGCGCGCCGCTTCCCCCTACTTCTGCGGTCAGTCCAGCTGACGCACTCAGCGCTTGCACGCTTCAGTTTATTACTCAATTACTTATACTAAAAATCAAGTAAACATATCCTATTTTTTTTGTTTTGAAAATATAAGTATTCAATATTAACCTCCATCAAGCGCATCGCTGTAAAATGTTGATTGCGTTTTCAAAATTTTTTTTAAATAAAAAAATTATCGGCTCCAGAAGGTCGTAGAAAAACATTTTTTTTAAATTCGTGAAAAAATGTCAGCAGTTTCTTTCTTTAAAAGTCATTTTCATAAAATAAATATTGAAATAGTTATTTGAAAAAAACGTACCCAAAAAAGTGCAACCTTTTCAGTCAGTTTTTGATCCTTAAAATTAATAAAATCGTCAACATTTTTTAACATGATAATATAACTCTTTACGAAGAAAATAAACCAAAAATCATCACTGTAGAGCTATCCGCTGAGATCTAGCCAATTTTAAAGAGCGTTCTTTTTTCAAAACATCGATATACTTATCGAAAAATAATTAATATTTTTAAATTTTTCAAAAAATGTACTTTTTTGGCTTGCCGCGGGCTATGCTTGCAGTAAATAGCAAGTATGGG